GCTACTTTTCTACTGAGAGCTGATTTTGTGAAGGGCGGCAGCGGCAAAATTAAAAATAAATCTATTCTTGCCGAATTTCGTCTTATGAAGTTCGTCGTCGCTTTGGTTGTGTGCAATCTCATATACTGCCGTGTGTTTTAATTTTGGCAGCGAACTTTCCTCCAACGAATTCCTCTGAGCGATTTGATTCTGTTTATACTTTTAAGTTTTAAGTTAAGTTTCGCTATCCGATACGTCCCAAAACGCCAACGCAGATATCTGAAGATATCGTTGGGTATATTAGAGTAACAATTAATGCGGCAGTGCTACTTTTTATGAAAGAGCATCACGTTCTACGCGCGTTCGACGAACAAAATTTTGACAATGAGTTGCTCATCACTAGCAAATCCAATGCAATTTAAAAAAAAATTTACTGCGCAATTTCTGCAGCTTTTCACTTAATTTTTAGTTTAGCATCAGCAGCAGAGCAACAAAGAAAGCGACAAGGTTGCAATATTGCGGTAATTATTAGGTAGCTGGAACACACCCTACATCCTATTTCTGCCTGGAAAACGCTTTTGCTTTTCATCTCTCTGTCTCAACGTCACGCTCCGTTTTGGAAGCGTCGAATTAATTATTTCAGTGGAATATAGGCGGCAGATTGGCCCCAATGGGGCAATGGAATTTCTTTTCTGGCGGCATTCTGTGCGAATGTTTTCTGATAGTATGTATAGAGTTAAATAGTAACAAATGAGTGGTTAGTTATATTAAATGGACCAAGTGACGAAATGAAATTGTTATTTTATTTTTATTCATTTGAATTATTATTATTCCTTTTTTTTTTGTTTTTTAAAATTCTTATGCTCGGTTGCACAATTTTGTTCGGAAAATTCGTTATTTTAAATTTTAACAGGCTGATAAATTTAAAATTGATTATATTATTATTTTATATTTTTTTTTCACATACACATATTTCTTTATTATAAACATTTTTGTATTTCATTAGTATATAATTTGATTTAATTTTTTGGTTTTATTTTTGTCAATATTTTCATTTTTTATTTTTATTTATTCTTTTTTTCTTTCAGTTTTTTATTTAAATTTTTCCATTTATTAATTTTTTATTTTATTCTGTATATTTCAATTTAAGAATCTTTTTACTTTTTAGTTTTTTATTCTTTTTCTTATTTTTGTGTTTTTTTTTTATTTGTTTGCGTTTTTATTTTTTAACTTTACATCTTTTTACTTTTTTATTTAATTGGAAATTTTCTTGTCATATATATTTTTTTAACTTTCAATAATTTTTTTTTTTTTCAAAATCTATTCAACTACCTATAGCTATAAGTTAACTACCCGCATATTTTAATGTGAGCATACAAATGGTGACACTTGGCTGAGCACGCACTCTCACTCGTATCCATCGTCCGATTAAGTTGGTGAGCGAGTGGCAATGGAGGAAGTTCTTCGACGCCATCGCCATCACCTTCCGTTCACATATTTCCTGCCTAACAATACAAAAATGACAGCATTAAAAACCATGTTGCAACACAATTCCAACAGCAACAAAATAATTATGTAGCAACATATTAGCATTACCATTAATAGCGAAAAGAGTATACGTAACTAACATACATACATAGTAAATACATATACATATATGTATGTGCATAACTGCACATTGGCGTTGCAGCAAAAATATAGTGCGTTTGCCCTCAACGCAGTATGTAATAACAGTAATGTGCAAGTTCGGTTTTTCTTTGGTAGTTAGGGTGCGCTGTGGGGTGTAATATGTTGTTAGGTGCAGGAAACTCAGTAGGAAATTTTAAAAATAAAGTTGAGAATTATTTATTTAATAAAAAATCCGGAGTTTAGTTTTTTTTTAATTTTTTGTTTGTTTTATATTTAATAATTAATAAAAGTATGCAACAAAAAAAAACTCGGCAGTTCTTTCCGGCGCTTATTAATAGTGGGGTATAATATAGCATGACGTTCCACGACGTGTTCATGAATGCACTGGGACGTGAAGTGTTGACAATGCGTTTTTATATTTCTTTCTTTTTTTCATTTTGTGTAATATAAATTTTTGGATTCGCTTTGCATTTCCATTTTTAATGTTATTTCTTGCCCTAGTGCACAAATGTAAATGCTGTTTATTGTTTGAGTTTGCTGCGCGACTCGTTTCGTTTGTGTCAACCCACGTGTAAAATCTAACTGTAAAAATTTGTAAAAAAAATATGCGAATCCGAAAATGTAAAAAAAAGCTCAATATAACGTTTTATTAGTAGAATTAAAACAAATATGAGTCAGGTGTTTTCGTTAATAAAATCATAAAAATATGTCGCTGCGCTTTTCTTTGATTTTTAAATATTTTGTGTTTGAATTTTTTTTTTACGAATTTCCGTCATACCTTGTTAAGTTCTGATCGGACTGAAACCGATTTCGGCGTTTTACCGTCTTCGTGAGTATTTTTTTGTTTTTAATTCTTAATCACTTAATTATTTACTAAAGAGTGAGAGTCTTAAGTTTTCATTTTGTTCGTATGTTATCCGCGTTATATATATAAAAAAATAAACATAGCGATTATCTGTTCGATGCGATTTATGAACGAAATGCAAAGTCAAAAAACCCTTCTACCGCAAATAAAGACTGCGCGATGCGCCTCGAGTGTTACTTTTTGCTTCCACCAGCGGCGAAGTTCGGGTGTACATGGGAAAGCTATAGTTCTAAATCCATTGACCATAACGGACGCTGAAGATCTGAGAACAGTTGTTGTAAACTGTCTTACCGAAGTTGTTATCGTGTCGCCCACCGCTCTAGTAAATATCTGAGTGTTGTTTATTTTATTTTTCTCAATTGTTCTACAAAACAAGTGATGTCCTAAAATGTCCAACCTAATTTCATTACCAAATTGCATTGCTGGAATTCCTTTAATGTAAGTATTTCTAGTTGCATGAATGAGTGATCCGCGAATTAAAAATGTTCAAAGTTATTCCAAAAATAGTCATTGTCGTATTGAATTAATTAAGATTTTCAGATGGAGAGGGTGATCCTCTTCCTAACATCTGCCATTTATAATTTTTCAACTAGTCTAAAATAAAAATAAGCAAGACACCAAAATAACTTATGATAGCTAATGTATTAGACAAAAGGAAAGCAAAAGCGATTCGTAGTGAAACGAAGCAGCAAATTTCAAAAATAAACATATGAAAGTGAATTTTAGCGGCCAGCAAATGAGTCGAAAAACAAACTGTGGTGTTGGCGAGAACTGTCAACCGAACCAGTGACTATTAAGTTTGGGCACAAGCAGCTAATGCACTCGCCTATTTGAATGCTCTTATTTACATACATACATATGTAGATACATGGTATGTGTGCAGTAGGTGTTCAAAAGTTCGCCGGCCGCAAGGCGAATGACGTGTGATGTTCATGTGTTTTTCTAAGGAATGTTTACGTTTAGCTAAAAAAAAATTAAATTAACAAAAAAATTTGTAGTTTTGACCGACAGGCAGTTCGCGGCTGTTGCGGTGTGTTCTATTACGAAAATGTAAAAGGGAAAAGCTATTTTTGATCAGACATTTTTCAATCCCAACGAATAGGAAAATCAAAAATTGGAATGGGAAATCGAAACAGTTTGTATGAAAATCAGTTTAAGTGGTTGACTATTGCGAATGTGGGGCGAAGCAGCTGTTGTTGCGCTACTGTCGCGGAGTAGAGGATGCGTTCCAGATTTGGAGAGTAATGAATTTGAAAATTTTTTGGAGTGTGTTTTCGAATTTTTATAGCTCGATAATGGCGTGATATGTGCAGTTGAAGTTGAGGGGCAAGGCAGTGTGGAAAATTGGATCTTTGAAAAGCTTTTGCAACTCTAACCTTGCAAATTTTGATTTCCTTTTGTTAAGAATAAGACAAGAGGTGACTGAATAGCAACAGAAAACGAAAGCAATGTTTAGACTAAACTGAAATATAACGCGATCAGATTAAACTTAAAATTTTAGTCCGACTTTGTTGTATGACCGTGGTAGACGTGCCAGTTGGTCAATTTTCGCCATACATGTGTATAAGTAATAAAAAAAAATAAAACATTTATAAATAAAGTATGATAAATAAAGTAATAGACGTAATAAAAAATAAAATAAAAGGCAAAATAAATAAATATAAAATAACAGCCGAAAAATGAAAAATAAAATAAGAGACGTAATAGTAAAAAAAAAATAAAAGACGAAATAAAAAATAAAATAAAAGCCGAAATAAAAAAGAATAAATTTAAAGCCGAAATAATAATAAAAAATAAAGCAAAGAGACGAAATAATAAAAAATAAAACACAAGGTGAAATAATAAAAAATAAAATAAAATACGTAATAGTAAAAAATAATATAAAAGCCCAAATAATAATAAAAATAAATAAAAGACGAAATAATAATAAAAATAAAAGACGAAATATGAAAAATAAAATAAAAGGAAAATAACGAAAAATAAAATAAAAGGGAAATAATGAAAAATAAAATAAAAGAAAAAA